ATTTAAAAATACATAGCATCTTATACTGAACCAAAATAGAAGTGTCGTATGTATTTATTCACAAATTTATTTGTTTAATAGTGTTGTTTGTGATTTCTGGTTTTGTTCTTTCTCCGTGATCCTATTGGACATTTCTGGAGCCCTAGTGGCATCATCACAAGGTGTATCCACATAATGGATTTTCATTAAAGAGCCACATGAAACAGTGCTGGAAGGGAAAGCATGGCTGCTAGACTGTTTCACTTGGGTAGTTTTATGCTTCACCTTAAAGTCAAAACTGTATTCTCACTACAAAACTTTTTTAACTTAGAATGTGATTTTTATGGGACGAAGGGCACTTCGAATGCTGGCAAAATCCCTTAACATTATAGCTGAGCTAGCATTTCAGTCAGTCTTTACTTTTATGGGAAAGGTACATAATCTTTTCATTGAGGTGAATTTTTGGTCTCTGTCTATGTTCTCTGGATTAGTGGTTTTCCAATAGAAAAATAATGCAAGCCACATGTATAAATTGAAATTTCTAGTATCATATTTTAAAAAAACATGAAATGAATTTAAAGTGTGCCATTGAATTCAGTATATCCAAAATATTATTTCAACATGTATTCAATATTTAAAGGCTGAGATGTTTTACATTTTTCCCACGTGAAGTCTTCAAAAGCCATATATATTTTATACTCACAGCTCTGAACTCAGATGCAAAATATTCTTTGGAAATACTTGGTCTGTATTTAGATTTCATGAAATTTAGAAGTAAAGAAATAAATTCACCTATTGAAGAAGTTCCAAAGTTAAATATTTTCTAGTGAATCAAGTATATATGTATGTATGTATGTAATGTATCTGTGACACTGGAGAGAGAACCCACGGCATTCACCATGTGCTATAGCCCTAGCCCTACTTAATGTTTTACTTGAGACAGGGTTTCACCAAGTTGCTGAGTTACTTAGGGTAGACTGGAGCATGTCATCTTTCTGGCTCAGCCTCCTAGAGTGCTGGGATTATAGGCATGCAACACCGTGGCCAGCTATGAATTTATATTTAAATTAATTATAGGTAAGTAAAATAGTAAGTTCCTGGGTGGTACCAGTCACCTTCTAAGTGCTCAGTAGCTCCACATTGCTACTAGTATCTGCTGTGTGAGACGGTATAGCTGTAGATGGTTCTTCCCCCTGCCCCACCAGAACTGGGGATTGAATCTAGGATCTTCACACTGAGTTACATCTCCAGACCTTTTTTAAGTTTTGAGACAGGGTCTTGTTAATTTGCCCAGGGTAGGCTTGAACTTGCGGTTCTACTGCCTCAGCCTCCCAGAGTGCTGGGATTATAGGCACATGCCTCCCCACTGGATAGGTTTTATTACTAAAACTATATATTTTGGGGTCTTCCTATTTTGTGAGTGCTTTTCTGTTTTTCCAGATTATTGTCAAGTAGAATTAGTCTGTACTGCTGAATACTTCTCAGAAACGGATTTACTCATTTGTCAGGGGTATAAGTGGTGCAGGAGGAAAACAGCTCTGCAGTTTTATATTTCATCCACAGGGCCAGGAAATAACATACATGAAGTTGGTGTTTAATAAATGTTTTTCCTATCTAAATCCCAGTTGGTCTTCAAGTTGCATCTTAAATTTAACTTTCTCACAGGAGCATTTCCTGCCTCCCAGGCTGGCATCTTTTCTTTGCCATATTTTCTCTTACATCTGAGTTCCTTTCCTCCAGAAGGTGCATGCCTCTTGATTTGAGCATTGTGTGGTTAGTATCATCCCCTCAACTAGACAGCAAGTTCCCTAAGAGAGGGAAATGTCCCTGTGTCTCCCACTGCCAGCAGGGGCCCAGCACAAGGGGAGCACTGTGGATATGTATTGGTCAGGTAATAGCACAGGGCCATTTGTAACATGAAGGGATCAGCAAAGTGCTCGATTTCCCACTTCAGAGAAGATGGAATTTGGTTCAGATCAGAGAAACAGGAATATTTTAAGGACTATGTACACTAAGAAATGTACCTATTTTTAGCTTTGATTTAAGCCTTGTCAAAAAATCCAGTAAGTTACACCATTTCTTGGCCTTTAACTCTGTTTTATTTGTATTCATTTTCTTAACCTTACCACTTCGTTTCTGTCATTTTGCATACATTTTAAGGTACATTAAGGGGCTGGGGACCTTAGCTCAGCGGCACAGCGCTTGCCTGGCAAGAGTGAGGCCGTGAGTTCGATTCCCGGTACCAGAAAAAAAAACAAAAACAACAACAAAATTAAGGTACACTGATGACAAAAAAAAAAAAAAAAGGAAAACAACTGTGAAATTAAGAAGCTGAGAAAGGGCATAGAGTAGAAACAAATGTGTATAGAGGAGGCATCTCTTGGTGTTTTTCAAACAGTTTAAAAATAAACCCACCCCTTTAATTATACCAGAGTAATGAGCCCTACCCACAGTATGCGACAATATAATTAAAAATGTGTTTTGGGCCAGCACACCGGGTTGTCAGGTCATTAACTGAATCATAAAATTGGAAATAATGCCCATTAAAGGTTACTAGTTTGGAAAGGTTAGATTAGAATTGAAAGTCTTTGAAAACATAATAGTTTTCCAGTTTGAATTATGCTTTAGAAAACCTCTAGCATTTGGCTTTTTCTTGTTACTTTTCATAGAACTGTGCCGTGTATGCAAGAATGCGCCCATTAGGGCACACCCAGTCCCGAATCAGCTACCAGGACCAGCATCCCGGATGCGGCTGTTCTGCCGCTTCCTCTTCACCCCTCTGCCCCACATGACTATCCTGACACAGGGAAGTTCTTCCTGTTTCTGTACTTCCCGTGCACAGAGTCACACAGTATCCGCATTTAACCTTATAGAATACATTATCATTCTAAGTGACATTTCTGATAGCAGACTTATTGAAAATAAGTTCTGTTTTTAGTTTTCTTTGTTGTGTATCTATTTTGGTAACTGGCAGTATGCTACTGTTTCTAGGTCATTACTGTTACATGAAGAAATTTTGTGTGTAAATGCATGTGTACCAGTGTGTGCCTGTGTGTGCGCGTGCACATTCTTTTACCATTTTTACTCCTATCAGATCGTGCCGTGCTACATGTGTTAGTCCCCTCTCAGCAGTGCCTTAAACTCTTTCCTATCAGTGTGCACAGATGCACTTCATTTATTCTCATTGTGGCGTAGCGCTCCATTGCATAGAAGTATCACAATTTAATGAGCTGGCTGTCCACTGAACAGTAGTTAGGTCTTTACTGGTATTTTGATTATAGGAAAATCCATATGAGTTTATTGGTAAATTTTTTTAATTTTGGAGGGGTAAAATTATTTTAAAGAATAAAAAATAAAACAATTTAAAACGATGCAGAATTTCAAAACATGATGATAGGAAATCAACACTGGTTGTTATATTGCATATTGTTATCTTCAAAGTAGTTGTGTTCAGATTATCAGATATAAACATGTAAAATTGGTCGAAAAAATTAAGCATTGTTTCTTTCAATAAACCAGTAGAAATTAGTAGTACAATTATCTTAGCTATCTTGTGTATGTATTATTTTTTTCCTTCCTTCTTTCTTTTCTCCTTCCATAGCAGTTTCTTTCCCTTTTGCAATATCTGTTGTACTTTTTGTATCTTATTTATTCTTTCAGGTTCTTACACCAGGGAGACAATATGATGTTTACACATGTGGGTCTGATTTATTTCACTTATGAGTATAGACTCTAGTTGCATCCATTTACCTATAAAATCTTTGAGTTTATCTTTTCTTTTATAGCTGAGTAGTACTCCACTGTATAAAAATACTACATCGTTTTTATCCATTCCTCAGTTGATGGGCATTTGGGTTGTTTCCAAGATTTATGAAATCTTGAAATATATGAAATATATGAAAAAATGTTCAACATCATTGGTCATTTGAGAAATGCGAAGTAAAACAACACTGAGATTCCGTCTCATCCCAGAAAGAATGACTTATCATCAAGAAATCAACCAATAACAAATACTGGAGGGGCTGTGGGGGTAAAGGAACCCTTCTCCACTGCTGGTGGGAGTGTAGACTGGTGAAACCACTGTGGAAATCAGTGTGGAGATTCCTCAGAAAACTAGGATTTGAAGTCCCATTCAACCCAGCGATTCCCCTTCTGGGTATTTTCCCAGGAGAATTGAAAACATCATACCATAGCGATATATGTGCACCCATATTTTTTGGGGGGGGTGGAATAAAATTAACTCTTAAAAATGGAATTGCTGGTTGTGTAGTTCTGTGCATTTTAAATTTGCTCAGCTATTTGTAAATGACCCTGTGAAGAGTTTTCTCCCACCAGCAAAGCTTGAGAATTCCTCCTTTCCTTTCTTTAGATTGTGTTATCAAGCTTGTCAATCTTTGTAGTCTGATACAGGAAAACCAATTAGTCATGTATTTAATTTGCATTTTGTTTAGTTCAAGTGAGGCTAGTTATTTGTGCTTATTGGGTATTTGTGCCTATTTTTTGCTTATTTTCCCATAGGTTTGTTCTCACATTTTCTTAATGATTTCAAGGAACTCTTTCTATGTAAAGGAAAACAGCTCTTTTATGTCATCTGTGGTGGTAATTTTTTCCAGTTTGTTTTTCTTTTTGTTGTGTTTATACTAATTCTTTTTCAAAACAGAGTGTTTAATTTTTATGTGGCAAAATACACTAGTTTTCTGTTTTTTTTTTTTTTTTTAAGTGGCTTCTGAATATTGCATATGAGAAAAAGCTCAGGAAACTTAAGACCAACAGGTTAAGCCTGGTACAGGGAAAAAAAAAGTCTCAATAAATGTTGGTGAGAAATGTGGTTATGTAGGAATTCAAATCAGAGTCAAAAGTGGTGTGATCAACTATAAAGAAACAAAAATTTGTATATAATTACTATAATATGCTTAGCATTTTAAACAGCTTTTAGAAGGATTTTTTTGAGTGTATGCTTTTATTTCCCTTTATGCTTTGTTACTTGGGGTTTTAATTTATCAATGATCCCTTTTTTTTAGATTGCAAATTATAACCTATTTCCGGCACCATTGTTGACGCCCAGTGATCCATGTCAGAAGTACTTCCAGGTCAGATATGTTTTTACATATTTTGATGTGGAGAAACAGTTGAATATTAAAATTTTATAAGATATATAGTCTGCTTTTGGTTTTTATTGTTCTTTACTAATGTAATAGAAAAGAGAATCTTTAAGATAGATGAACCAGTTGCATTTAACCTATTTGTGTAATAATTGCATGACTGCTGATATCATCATGTAAAAGTATTTCAGTGGACTGTTACAGGAAATTAAAACTCAAATTTTACGCTCTTGCATTGTACATTATAGCCTGTGAATTATTGAAATAGAAGCAAAGGAGTGAGTTCTAGTGTTCTGAGACCCTGTAAACAACTTTTTATATTGTGGGTTTGTCTAAAATAGTTTCCAAGTAGTCTCCTTGATCTAATCCTGATTAATTTTAGGCCTTAAGAAAACTACCTGATTTTACAGTGTGGCTCTGTCATAAGGCAGATGTTAGTCTACACAGTGTAGTGTGAGATTTAATTTTTAGCCTCACAGTAATAGATAAAAAATGATAGGAACATTTCAAATTAAATATAGGACTGCAAGTGGTACATAGATCTGAGTAGATTTCATTTCTTAGGATACATAACACTCAGCAAGTTCTGAATTTTTATATAAGTAGACTTAGCCATGGACAAATAGATATTAATGTTCTTAAATTCTAAAGTTAAACTTACTGTTATGTTCAAATCCTTTTCTCCTTTATGTAACACTTTGCACGTTACATTTCAACAAGGAAGTAAAAATTAAAATATACAAAGAAGTAAAATCAATAATAAAATAAATACTAAGCTCATAATAGGTATATGAGTAGCAAGACATACATAAAAGCAAAAGTTAAAAGCCAGGCACAGGGGCATGTGCCTGTAATCCCTGCACTCTGGAAGGCTGAGGCAAGAGGGTCATAAATTTGAGTCCTGTCCACAGAACTTAGTAAGACCTTGTATCAAAATTTTTAAAATTTGTGAAAAAAGAAAAAGCTGGGATATAGCTTACTGTTGAAGGTCCTAGATTTGATCTTCACTACTATCAAAAAAATGAGTGAAAAGAAATGTAACAAACCCAAGTTTATTCAGGAAAATAGGAAGTAAGCTGATTCTTAGAGACACCTAATCATACTGTGATGATTTGGGACGGGGACAGATTTTCTTTATAAATATATATATATTTGCTTAGTTATATTAAATTTAGAAGCTCAGTGCAAATATATGTATCCTTTAAAAATATTTTTTAAATACTGAGAATGATTCCTTGTAGAGATCCTTTAAAATCTTACGTTACATTGAAAGTAGACTCTGTATTGAAACATTAATAAAATAAGGCTAACCAATATATAAAACTTAGGAGTTTTAAAGGGAAAAATATGTATATATGTATACACAGGATAGCTAAGATAGTTGTACTACTGATTTCTATCCCTTGACTGAAAGGAACAGTGAATGTTACTTGTTTGATCAATCTTACATGCTTGTATTTGTTTATCTGAGTAACCAACTTGAAGATATCAATATGTGATATAACCACCATTGTGAATTTCCTATCACCTTGTCTGAAATTCTGTATTGCTTATATTGTTTTTATGTTATTTTGTAAATGTCTGTGTGTCTGTTAATATGTTTTCATTTTTTTATCTTTAAAATTAAAAAAATTACAAGTTTTTCTCTAACTGGAGGTGAACAGTCGAATAATCCTAGAAATTTCTGACAGTTTTATTTGGTGTGCTGATACATTCATTCTTTTTAAAGGTATGCAAATTGCTTAATTTCATGATAGTTACAGGAGTTACTGAAAACGGTTATTCAGCATGAATTTCAAGTAAGAGCCAGTAGTATCATGCAGTGGTATAGTAGGTCATGAATTTTACAAGGAAAGCAGTATTTTTATTTCAGTGATGTATCTTAATCCATATTGTCATTTTATTAAAAATACTTGAATGGCAACTCCTGAGGGAAGAAGCAGACCAGTTTGTGGGGTAAAGTGTGACTTCAGGCCCGATTTTGAACTCATGTAAGCTGTGACTGGAAGGAGCTTTTTAAAAGCCAAACATACCAAAGTTTAAACTCTCATTTGCCTGCAAAGTACCTATTAACTCTTAAAGAGATAATTCAGAAATTCCTTCCAGATAGGTCTTTGCCCCTTTGCACATAATATAGTTAAGTAACTACCCTATTTTAAGGATTCTGCTCTTTAATACTGATTTTTTTTTCTCCTTTGGGAATTGATGTAAACCCCAGATTATCAGTTTATCAAGAAAACGTGCAATGTCCCAGTGTTCCCAAACTTTACCATTGACTATGTTCACCAGACTTGGCCATGAAAGTCCAAAGTTTTGCTGGATGTGGTAGCACACTTGTAATCCCAGCATGTGGGAAATTGAGGCAGGAAGATTGCTATGAGTTCAAGGCCAGCTGGGCTAAATCATGAGACCCTGTCTCCAAAAAATTAAAAAATTAAAAATAAAAAATGAAAGCAAGCAAGCAAGAAAGCATAGGGTTATACCAAAAAAAGGTCATCTTCAGAAGACATTAAGGTTTTTCTAAAGACTGAGAGGAGCTTAGAAATGAGGAGCAGAAAAAGTATCCCTAAAATAAGTATATACTTTGCCAAGGTGACTGTTTTTTAAAATCTGTCTTCTTCTTTTTTTTTTTTTTCCCCTGTACCAGGAATCAAACTCACGACCTCATGCTTGCCAGGCAGGTGCTATGCCGCTGAGCTAAATCCCCAGCCCCTTAAAATCTGTCTTCTTACATGAGCCACAGATTGTGCTTCATATTTCCCAAGTAACCAATCATCACATCTGCTGAGTGTGATGTTAGAGCGCCAGGCAAAAGTGCCTCATTGTCCTTGTCCGCAGGTGACTTTCTACCTTCCTTCAAGACCCAACTCAACTCTTCCTTTCATGGGAAGCCTTCCCTGAACCCCAGTGCTCAAGATTCATACCATGTTCTTGAAAGATCCTTTGCCTATTTCAGACACTGTGAATTTGGGGAATGTCTTGGGACATAATACCTAACAGCCCAACTTAAAGGAACAGAGGTTATTTCAGCTCACAGTTTTTAGAGGTTTCAGTCCATAGTCAGTCAGTTGGCTCAAGGCAGGGCAGCATGGCAGAGGAGAAGGAGCTCATGGCAAGGCAGTGGGAGGTAGGCCAAGGTCAAGGGAGGGGTAGGGATATATATACACACACCATTCCAGGCCATGCCCCCAGTGACCCACATCTGCCCACAGGCTTCGCCTCCCAGTGCCACACCCAGCTATAAACACATCAGTGACTAATCCAGTGTCACACACCTGGTGAGCCAGACACCTCCCCAGGGCCCCACCTAGGAGCACAGAAGCCTTGGGGGACACCTAGATATAAACCATAATATGGAATAACTGTTATAGGAATAGCAGGGAATCTGTCTCACTAACATTTCATATTTGTTTCTATGATTGGTAAATAAAAGTTGTATATCTTTAGTGTATACAAATTTCCAATTTTTAAATTATTTTTTACTCTTCTTAAAATAAAAAAAAATAGGTATATGTGTGATGCAGTGGCTACACAGAGCTAATGAAGATCTGACTGAGTTTCTTAAAAGTATTCACTCCATGTCTCCCTCTTGAATCTTTTCGTCTCTGTTGATATCACTCCTTTTCTTGTAGACCCATGAAGTTGCTCTCCCACCTCTATAAAATTTCCTTGGTTCTATTCCTGTGATCTCCCTGACCTTGTGGCCCAACCTGCCTGCTAATAACTTTTGGCTCTTGTTCACAGAGAAGTTCTTATCATTCTTATCACATGGAGGTTTGTTTTCCTGAGTAATTTCAGGAAACCAGCTTTCTTTTGCTTCTCTTCCTTTAGGAAGAGAAAAATCTGAGTTTATTTCATTACCTTAATACTTTGAGGTCTAGTTCAAAAGGCAGGATTCCTCAGGATGGAAGTTTTGCTGTTAACGCCTCAGTGGAAGTAAAATTGTATAGCCAAGGAGTAAAAATGAAGAAAATGGGACATTTCATTCAAGAAAAAGGCAAAGTTTGGGCTTCTTTGAGCCCATTTGTCAGTGTATTTCCAATTTTATAAGCATGAGCACAGAGGGAGAGCAGCTGATTACTGACAGCACCTTCCTGTCATTCTTGACAAGCTGTTTCTTTGACACAGGCTGGAGGTCTCAGAGGAGAAGGAAGCAGGAGGGAAGGAAGCTGCCTCACTGTGGGACGCAGCAGGAGTCCCACTAGGATGGCACCGGAGGGACGGGTCTGCCTGGCCGCGCCTGAACTGGGGCCTTTGTGGCTGGTTTTGAGAAGAAATTAAAGTGACCCTGACCTACCTAACATTGTTAGGCTTCATAAAAAATACTCCATGTATTAACCAGGACTCTTTTAATTGCAGAAAAGAGCAAAGGCAGTTCAAAGTGACCTTCAGCAAGAAAAATAATCAAATCAGTCTGTTGGCTGGGGGAAGTCAATGGCTATTGTATTCAGGCAGGGCTTGTTCCAGGGGCTCAACCGGTGCCCTTAGGACTCCCTCAGTTTGTGTCTCTTCCTCTGTTCCCTTGTTAGATTTTTGCTTGAGCAGGTTGTCTCCTCCTGGTGACCCCTGAAGGCTCAAAGTTTGCCTCTCCTACTTCAAGAGAGAAGAGAGATTGCCTCTCTTCTCATAATGCCAGTGACAGCCTCATGATTGGCTCTTGAACCAGCCTGAGCCATGGGGATTTGCTGTCTGAATGGCAGAGCTCCCTGAAGTAAGAGCTACAGTCATCTTTGCCTGAAGCGGACATAAGTTCTACTATTTTTACTTAGTCAATTTTGTTCTTTGCTGTATTCTCAGCAATCAGAAGCATTTCTGGCACATGGTAGTGGAAAAAAAAGAATCTGTGGAATGAATGAATGGGTGTCGGGGAAGGCTGATTCCCCCAAGAAAAATTGTAGAGCTGTTAATAGAAAGGGAAGGAATTCATGCCAGGTGATACTAGATGTTTCTCCATGTGCATGCACTGCAGCGATGACAGCAGCAGTATT